GTTAGCAGAGGACCCTCTGCAAGTCAGTATGGAATGCACCTTAGAATTGTCCCACTGAAGGATAGAGAATTCGGGGTATTACACACTAGTTTATAGCTGGTGGGTCCCTCCTCCAGGTGTTAAAGCCCCTGTACTTCCAGCAACTGGCTCCTTGTTCAGAGAACGACCTTGAGCAGAGAAATGCAGGAAGCCACTGGGAGGTAAACCTGGAGTGGGCCAAGCCCAGCACCAGCCACATCTGCTACATCATACAGTGCATTAATTATGCTCATTTTCTCAATCAAAATTTCCCTTCCATCTGTCTTTCTGGTTAATTTGCCTCATCCTTTAAGATCGGGCCCAGTGGAGCCTTCCCTGACCTCCGCTGGGAGAGTTTTACCCCTCTTCTGTGAACATTCTTTTCTGCTGCTGCAAATATGTTGTAGCTATTTGTTTACAAGCCCAACCCACACCAGACTCTGGGCTCCCTGAGGGCTGTATCACTACTACCCAGCGTGGTGGCTGGCACAGGTCTTGTCTAGTCAACAAAGGCACAGCTGTAGGCATTACAGAGAAAGAGGATCCTGTTTTTCTTATATGTAACAGAGAATATCTTCAAAGAAATAAAATATATGTTACCACATTTTGAATACCATAAAGTCAAATGTGTACAGGAGGGAGAACCAAGCTAGGAATCTTGGGTCCTAATTCAAGTCACGTTGACATTTTCTGTAAATCGAGGGGATGGGAATGGCCTTTAAGTTTCTTTCAAGTTGTATGGATATAAAGTCACTGGATCTGCAAGTGAAAGCTGAATCGTACACGCTGTACTACAACCACATATGGAAACGCTTAGAAGTTAGTGATAGTCATCTGGACTTAAGGAAAGAGCACAGGTGATGCACACTGAAGCTGTTGGCAGGTTTGTAACGCTGCATATACAAAACAGCTGGCGCTGGAATGTCCTGGGTGAGAAGACACCTCCCAGGGAGGAGGTGGGCAACTACAGCAGCGGAGCAGCAGGGCAGCTCGCGTGCCGGCAGGTGCTGCTGCTTGGAGCCCAATGCTCCTGTCAGGCTCTGTACACTGTGGAACCATGGATCCCACGTAGGTCACTGACCACAAATAACCACTTCCTGAGTTTTCATCTAATCCCTGGCTGGTGGGCTCTGTCTGTATTACTAGATGTAGGTTAGAACAGGCCAAACTGGAACACTGAATACAGGCTGGTTTCCCAGACATTTTAGATAGTTTCAGTCCTCCTAGAAATGAGACTGGGATTGGAGGAACTGAATAGAGTCAGGAAGACTAGGTGCTTTTGCATAAAGGACTAAAACACGTTGAAAATTTTCATTGTAGAAAACAGACTCTTTCTCCTGAAATATTTTGAAGATAGTCACTGGCATCCTGTGTACAGTGAACACAGAGAAATAATACTTCTGGAAGCATATGTTGTT